ACGATGCTACTTGTAGCTTAAGATGCTGAAACAGTTTAATGGCTGGTTCTGTAGAAATGGTCGCAACACAGTGCTTGCTGTTTCTTTGCGTATGGGGATGGCAGAACTGTTATGGATGATCAGTTGTATTCGTATATTATATTTTATTGATATTTATACGTATTAATATGATATATATAAGTAGTATACCATACATACAACATACATTAATACATACATACATACATACATACATACATACATTATTATACACAACATATACACTATCACACACACACACACCCATTCAATACTATACAGTATTATCCGCACATTATTTCTGCTTAAGGACAACACTGTTAATAAGAGAGTCCCAAAGTCTGGCTAAATATGGCACAAGGTACCAAATAGCATGGTGACAGGAAATGGGATGCACCTGCAGCAAGTAAAACTCAACAGATGGAAACATTACAATGTCAACTGAGCCAAGAAAGCTACAAAGAGAAATTAAGGACCAAAATATGCTGGTCATTTTTATATCAATGCGTAGCCAGTTGGTGCAAGACAACAAAATTCATTAAAACAACGCAACAACAACCAACACAGGACCTATTTTTTTTTGTACTGTTCCAACAGCTAAACGGGGCTATATATACATCAAAGGTGGATCAGTGAGCGTGTTACTCAGGTGTGGTACACTGATCTCTGACATGAAAGTAAAGCATTGCTGGCTGACTTCCACCACATTCCCGCCTGTAGGACGGGCCTATCTCCAGATTCGCAGTCAAGTCGCAGCGCTCCATTCTCCTCTCCACTTGCACACACACACACACACACACAACAACACACACACACACACACACACCACACACAAACACAAACACACACACACACACACACCACACACAACACAAACACACCACAACACAACACACACAAACACACAGCGCGATCACAGGTTAAGTGGGCCAGAGATTACAAGGATACAGGCATGTCTTTCTCTCTCACACACACAAACACAGACGTTTTACCTGCTGTTTTCTGAAGTCTCTTATTTCCTGTGCCTCTGCTCCTCGCTGGGGGTGTCTGGATAGCGGCTGGGACACTGCATCTGATGGACAAGGGGACAGAACAAACTGACTGTTAGGGGAGGGGGCAACCACAAAATGCGGGAGATGTCTGGGAGCTATTTCTGTGTGTGTGTGTGTGTGTGTGTCTTTTCATATAGTAAGAAGGTGAGAAAGTTAAAGAACCAGTAAATAAAGAGGAAAGGGTTGGAAGTGGCTGATTTAACACAGAATGGAAACAGTACAAAGCAGGTTTTGGTCTGTATGTGACAGACTATGCACTGAAGACGTCACACACACACAAAGAGGCCCCGGCTGCCCCGTCAATCGAGATAAGACAACAGAAAGAACAGAGCACTCAAAGCAAAATGCCCTTACTGACCTTTCATTCACTTTCATTCTTTTCTTACCATCTACTCCCTTTGCCTCTCGTTTCTATGATACCTAATAATTTCCCTTTCACTCAAATTACAGGAGAAAATTTTAGAAATCACTGAGAAGGGATATTGCCTGCACAACAATATTCATCTGGCAGGCATTTTTTAATTCTGGAAAGTCTGAAAACGTGAACTGCCAATTCTGAAACAAGCAGACGTATATGAGCAACATAAATGAATGAGAACGTTGTCTAAAAACAACAGTGTATGATTCACCGTTTCCACTCATGTTTATCAGTTCTAACATACTTGCTTGCAACAGTCACTGATACAGACATGTTCACTGTAGCCTGAAGTGGCTGAAAAAGCAAGTAAAGAAATGTCCTTTTTTGTGAGTGGGGGCAAAAGGCCTCATGGTGAAAAATAAATAAATCAATCAAACCTACAAGAAAGTCTGAGTCACAGCGACTAAGTGTTGAATCCTTTTAGCACTCCAAATGAAAGTCTTACAGATACAATCAGAAGTGGCAAAAGGAATTCCCCGCAACTAATGCTGCGGTCAAGTGGAAGTCCTCTTCTAAGAAATCTGAAAGTCAACTATTGTAAACATCTGGCAGAATTTAATGTTAATGTATTAACTTTGTGTTTAACCAGAGCAAAATCTATCAGTACAGCTTATTACCCTTTTTCTGTCAATGTTTTATGCTTTCCTCGTTTTAATATTTCACTTGATATTGCTTGTACAGACAAAATTAACTCAAGGTTAATGAAACACGTTTAATCTCTAACCTTCCTATGCTATGTTTTTCACCTCAGTATAACAGTCACAGTTAGATCTAAAGGGCTTGGTCAATCAATATATTGCTTCATTAACAGAAGATTAATTGGATATTATATAGATAAATCTATTAATTGGCTTTTTTAAAAATAAATGCTACGCAATCTTTGGTTTCAGCATCGCAAATAAGAAGATTTGCTCATTTCTGTTGTTGTATGTGATAGACGACTGTATCTTTGGACTGATGGTGAGATATAACTAATGGTGAACCTAGCCTGACACCACACATTGGCTTGTGGACTACCATTTTGAAGCTTCAAGTTTGGCATTATGGCCGTCGCCAGTTTCCTTTTTTTGGAGAGAGTGATGGACGAGATCCACGAGACGGTGGCCGTGGTAGTTACTTGTCAATCCCAATGTAGCCCTAAAGCCATACCCTGCTTTATATCTGTTTTACTCTAAATGGTCCATCATTTGATGCTGTGACTTGCATAACTTCACTGCAAGAACTAATAAATCAAGTAAAATGTAGGGTCGTTTACAAGCGGACTTCTTTTTGCGACCCCCTGCTGGCTAGTACAAAGAATTCAGGTTTATGATCATTGACAGATATATAATGGACAGAGCTTCCAGGTCTGTGAAGTGAAGACAACGTGGAAGTGTCTTAAACCAAACTTAGATCTTAGAACTAAGAGGAAAGTATCAAACTAGGCAGTGCTAATCAAATACCGATTGTTTTTGGGCCTCACTTTTCAGGCCCGGATGCTACGTCCACTATTTATTATACAGTTTATGGATAAAACAAGGAATATGGACAAGTTGCCCTTGTGGGTATTTTTAACTATTTGACATTTTATAGATAAAACATTTTTTTAATTTTATATCAAGAATATAAATCGCCAGATTGTCAGCAAACCGTAATACCAGAATTCTTAAAGATATTTGAATTATTAAATAATTACTGTTTGTACTACAACATTTCTAATTCTCAAGCAATAAAAGGAGCAAACTTTTTCTTCAAAAAGTCAGCATACAGCCCTGCTCAATGCGCCACTGCAATTAAACTTGTACAATGGCAACATCAGTTGCTGTTGAGTCATTTCATTCGGATCTTATGTGTCACCTCATACAAATATTGGTATGGGTATGTCAAGCTTCTCAAAAACCTAGTAACCCTAAAGTCCCAAAACTCAAGTGGTGTTTTGGCTCAAAACATCAAGATGAGGAAGTGAAGGACATGACCTCTCTATGTGCAGACACAGTGCCTTAGGCAGTCCATAGGCCTCTCCATCACTACGATCTGCCTACATTTCAAAGAGTTGCAACTATGGAGACCAAGATGTGAACTGAGCGATACGGTAAACAAATATACTGTGGGCAAAAACACACAGGGAAACCATACACGCTGATGATATGCAATGCACACACTCTGATTGAGGTCAGTAAACTTCCTGTTTTTCCCCAGTGGTTAAGATGCTCTATCTTGTTTACCAGGGTGTGACACAGAGAGAGGTTCACAAAAACAACTGTGGTGAGTGTGTTTGAGTCGGAGATGTTTTATGTACAGACACCGTGATATTTATACCCTTACAACGGGAGTTGAGGACAAATTAATAGAAAGAGGCGAGACTCTGGGTTTCCCCCAGAAAACGGGCTATAAAAATGATTTTGTGTCCACACACAACTACAGTAAAGCCACATGTGAGAAGTCCAGTTCCAGGAAGTGTGCTGTTTAACGCAATGATAAAATCTCAGGCCAGAGACAGTCAATGTTTAACTCTCTGACTGGATTCAGCTCAGAGCATCACATGTTCCACAGAAACTGTGGGTGTGTGTTACAGTGACTTTAGGAGAAATTGAGAGAGCAAGACAGACAGAGGGTTCACTATGGCGTGGTTCAGTGATGATGTTTTTGCTGCAGGCCAAACCCCAAAGTTAGCTCTGCCGCTGTTCTCTGGAAACAGCTTCCCTGTAAAGTCAATGAGTTTGTTTTATGTCTGATGATGTTCAATAATAGAATGTAAAAATGACAAACATCTCTAAATGGATTTCTTTAGTGATCCAGCATGAAGTTTGGGGTTTATTGCTGCTATTACTTACGGTAAACTTTTCTTCCCAACAAGAGCAAATAGCTCATAAGATGCTAACTGAAATTAAAGTGTCACTACTGACTTGCATATTTATTGAGGTTGTATTTTTATCTACTGACCTTTATAGAAGTACATCTAATTCATAACCAGTTTAACATGTTCAACATGTTTGCTATATGAGATTATCTTTCCATAACAATGGTAAAAGCTAACTCTAAGATAAACTACGACAAAGATTCCTACACAAACCTATTTTTAACACTACAATTTAAAATCTACACTTTGGAAAACTATGAAAGTGTCGATCTACTGTGTAAAGCAGAAAGGCAATAGTTTGACAAATGCAGAACTCTATGGTTGTTAGCCCTTGGTCACTTAAATTCAAGAAAGTGTGTGTGTTGTAGAGTATTTAGAGTTATCAATAATCATTTATGGCCTGTACTTTATTTGCAAGAAAATGTTACAGCGCAATTAAATTGTATCATAGTGCTCAGTGGTAGCTTTGTTATAAGTAACACATTTCCATTCAATTACCTTTTCCGAGTATTGTATAGGCAGTCAGAGACGACCACTGCAACAAGTCTGTTTACGCTACTGAAGTCATTCACAAACTTCAGTTTATTTTTCAGGGATTAGAGCACAGGCAAAACAATTTCCAGCATAATGCACAGAGTACTGGATAGTGACGTTAGCTTCAAGTGTTGTTCTAGTGTATCTAGTGTTTCTTACGCAAGAGGAATTACGTCTATACATACACTCTACTCAGTCCAGGAGGATTAACTGACCAAACACACACATATACCCGCGAACAAAAAGAAAACAAGGTTTTTCTCAGAGCCTCCCCACAAATTGTTGTCACTTTTATCATTGTACAAACACCACAGTGAGAATCTAACTTTGATATGACTTTCTCACCCCCCACACACACACACACCCTTCCTCTCCTCCACCCATCCTCTGGTACAAGAATGTGAGGAATGCAAAAATGCAAATGCTGAATGACTGAGTCTTTCACTGCCCCTCACCTTGGGGCACTTGCATACAAACACCTCTGCCAATATGCTCTCACTGAACTGATCATGCTTTCACTCCTTGCCATTCTCATAAATAGAATTTTCTTACAACCTTCAGGCAGTAACAGGCAGGTGATAGCTCCTACTATAAACAGTTGGGGTTTTTTCTGGCCCTGAGGGGTTGCATAATAAAACAAACCTCCTGAAAGGCTCTCCTGAAACTGCGCCATTGTCTTCTTCAGGAACCAATGACTTCTCCCCCAGGGCATTAACATAAGCAAATATAGCATGGACACATAAGATGCAACAAGTTCACAGCTGCTTTAGCCAAGCCTACAAAAAAAAACCGCAAGATGTCAAAAAATGCACTCACTGGGATGGATCTCCAGTAAGTTTTAAGTCTCTGGAGAGTAAAGACAATTTAGGTAATGAGCTTAAAACATGCAGAAGGAATGCAAGAGGAATGCACCAGTACACACATTTCACACACTCCCTGAACCAAGTGTGGTCTGAAGGGCCATTACATTTGACCATGCGTCATCACGGCCTCACCGTAAACAAAAGAGCACTGTCTGTCCATTTCTAAAAACAATACACGCCCACTCATTAGCACAGTGGGATGTTTATAACGCTCCATCACAGAGAAACACACACACACACACACACACACACACACAGAATTGACTGCCATCAAAGCAAAGTTTGAAATATTTTATATAAAGTATTTCAATCAATGCATCTCTGTGTGGTGGCTGTGTACCCATGGCCTTTACCCACTTCTTCCCCCTGTCTCACTTTATTTAGCTGCTTGCTTCACTCTCTATTTATAGGTGCTATTGTGAAGCTGCCCTTAGGTGGGTGGAGTGTGAGTGTGTCTGTGTGTGTGTTCCCCTAGGACGCTGTAAATCAGTTACCTTCCGGCTGCCTGGCTGAGCAAAGGTCCACCTCCGCCTGGGGTGTAGTGCCACTGCTCACTCAGAAGACAAACAAGCACACACACACATAAAGTCACAAGGCAAAAAAAGGGTGTCACACCATAATTGCAACACAGGCAGAACCACAATGATGTAGTTGGCTGAAATAAGTCAAAGGTCATATAGTTTAACAGGAGGAAGGGAAATAGGGGTTGAGAGGGGAAGATAAGCTCTTAACACTTTCCAGGCTTTTGGACGTAATAATTACATCATGAGGACAGCGTGAAGTTGCACAATACGCCTTTGAAAGTTACTTAACGCAGCTCAAGACAAATGTAGGGCTGGGTAAAATTTTCAATACTTGTACCGATAACGATACTTTGACTTCAATACCGGTTTCTGAAAGATTCTTTTTTTTAATACCAATTTTAACAAAAATACTTTACTCAACCTGGATAGCTGGACTAAAATGAAGGAACTAAATATCTGTGCAGTATTTGACTATATAAAAACTATACATAACTGCCAATAGGAACATAAATAACAAATAGTATGGCAGCAATATGTAGTCTAAAAGGAAATGACTGTGTGGGTGACGTTTATGGTACTGGTAAATGGTGTCAGTGTGACAACAATCCACAGTCAACTTCAGTGTGTTTCTTTCCCGTCTACCCCTGCGGTGGCGAGCAGAGGACACGCCACAGTTTCCACCCCAGCGGACGATGAGGTGAACTGACTTACCGACGAGCAGATACAGGTTAGCTGCACTGACTTGCTAACAGCCAGTACAGTTCACCTAACTGTCCGTGCAGATAAGCAGCTGGTGGAAAATCTGGGTGTCATTTTAGACAGCATGCTGGTGCTAACTGGCACCACACTGACACTGATGAGTTTTACTCCTTTGGTATTGAAATTTGGTACCAAATGATAGACATTTTTCAATATTCGGTAGCATCGACACAATTTGCTCTGTGCCATAAAAGTATGGTTTGGTACCCAGCAGAAGGCAAATGTGATCATCCCTTTCTCAAAAGGTATTCTACACTAACTAGAAATAAGGAGAGGATGGTGCATACTGAAGCTATAAAGCTTAATATGAGGACACATCTACTCCCGTTTGTCATGTGACAATCTTATTGCAGGGAAACAAAATTATTATTCCTCACTATACTGTACCCCACACCACTTATCTTGTGCATTATCACATGTTTATAGGCATAAAAATCTAACCAGTGTTTTTAAGTTAAATGTGGTTATGTGGGTGGAGGAATGTTGGTAGGATGGCAGCATGTGAGCGCACCTCAGTATTTATATAACGTGCACATTTAACCATAGGGCTATATGCATATTAAGATATCACAAGGCTCGACGCGTGCTCTCAACAGTCTGTGTGTGGGACAGAGTGTGTATGTGTCATCAGCAGTTGCAGACAAGAGACCTGTGCTGGGAGGAAGCGTTGCCATAGAGATGTGAAACTGAGGTTTTGCCTCCTCCGGTTACAGAGAGGAGGCTGGAGCCCCCCCAAGGGTGGCGGCATAACCCGACGTGATCTAAGCAGCTAGGGTCAGCGCGGTTACTGCATCAAGCTATTGTACTTGCAAGGCGACGGCGAACGACCACCGCAACCATAGGTTTCGTACTACAGATCCCTGGTTCTTTCATTTGTTCATCACAAAGTTTGATATATTAATCTGAATGATGAACAAATCATTAAAACTTTTTCCTTATGCAAAGAGTTTAATAATTAGCCAGAAGGCTCCTTCTTTTCATCATGTTCCATCTTGGCTCACATACATATATACATACATATTTTTTGCATTATGGAGACATCATAATCATACTCTGGTTTCCTAAAAACTCAACTAAAAACAATTGTTGGCCTTTGCTTATTTGTGTGCATTTAGTCTCCACTGTAGCTGCAACTAAAGTTTGACCACAAACCAGTCAGTGGCTTTTAACAGAGAACTGTCACACGGCTCGCTGATGCTTAACTGCAACAAAGGTTATCTATCTTTGCACACACTATAATATACACCTCCATAGCCTCACATATACCTTTAAATATATGAATCCTACCTTCATATCCTTACCATACCCCCCAAATCTTTAAACATTCAGGGAACTCTGACAGCTGACATTATCAGATGTCTTGCATTCAGAATGGGTTTAAATATGAAGTAGCTGACATCATTAAGTTTAAATGTTCCCCTTCTAAATAAAATGTAATCAATAGGTCAAGACAAACAACATTTAAGCTTTATTATCATGACCAAAATCCCAGTCAATATCTAGTCTTAGATGTAAAGAAAATAAATAAATCTATATTATAATCTGTGTCCCTGCCATAGACAGGAATATAAAATGTGATAACAGATACTTAATATCAGTGCTCCTTTCATATTTCTCAATGGAAAATATAGACCATCTAGGAACAACATAGTGCTACGAGCAGTCATCAATGTCATATGGCCTTTATGCTTATACAACTGTCTAGCCCCCTTTGTTTGTCTTATCCATGTTGCTTTTATATTTTTATATAAATAGATAAATGGATAAATAAAATGTTCAAAAAGAAAATATAGACCATGAGAATATAGAGCCTGTGGATTCTGAGTATAAAATGAAGCCTAATTATATGTATTTACTGTGTTTTAATTATAGTAACCAGTCCTTTAAATTGTGTTGACATGGTGGTCCTAAGTAGGCCACATATGACACAGATGTGTCCAGTAAATCAACTTGAAGTTATAGCCTACATGTCTCCATGACGAGGAATGTGCTCCAAAGCTCCAAATCCTAGATCAGATGTCCTCTAGAAAATCCCTTGTGTTTTCAGAGATGTTAGGGAAGTGCACACCTCATTCAAGGCACAGCCAATAACTGTTTTACCACTGTCAGTGGTTGTCTTTGTGTATAATTAACTAGAGTACATGCAATCAAATGACTTGTTTTTTCTCCTTCCTGGAAGAGTGTGCTATTTTCAACATTGTACCTTGTATAACATGCTTCTCTGATATTTGATCAGCTGTAATGTTGATAATCTAAATATCATCAGCACTGATTGTCTCACTGACTGCATGGATTGCTGACTCATGTTCACTGTCTGACTTACTCCACTATACACCAAGTCAAGGAATGGACATGTCGGAGAAGATAATGAGCAAGAAATAGGAGCTGACAGCTGAACAACAACCTTTTTAATGCAAGAAGACACCAAATCTACATAACCGTTTTCTCATCATTCCTATTTATAGTTTGATTTTCTGAGAAAAGTGGATGAATGCGATTCTCGTTCTTTGCAAACGTTCATGTCAAAGATGTCACACCAGCCCCACATCCTTCCATGCAGCACTATGTCTGTGTCACACATGGCAACCCGTGGCATGTTGAGGCAGTCTGCACATAAGTGATTAAAGATGCTATTATGTTTCAAATTGAATTCACAACTGGTCTGACTTATAACCTCTAAAAGAGAACTTTGTGTTGATTCTGGCGACTTTTCATTGATTTCAAGCTGAATCTGACCCATTAGCAGGCGCTGAGAATCACAACAAAGAAATAGTCAATCTTCTCACTGATGGTTTGCTCATGTAGGCCATCAGTATTAAGTTGAGACTGTTTGATAACCAGTAACACACTCCAGTTGCAGTACGATTAGAAAAGCGAGTGTGTTTGTTTGTAGCAGTAGGATGCTTTCAAGCCCAGAGTTGGCTCCTGGCCTTTGCACTTCAGAGTAAATGTGGCAGAATGTGTCTCTAACTACATCTGCACCAAGAGCATCTTAAGCCTGATTTATACTTCT